ACTTCCTCGGACAGACAGACCATCAACCTGGACTTCGAGATTTTTCAGTTCTCCATCACTCGTGTCATCCCGGTGTAAATCAGAAGGTCGCTTAAAGATTACGTCTCTGGATTCGATCAGAAATTCACCAGTTTTTGTGCATGATTTAACGTGAACACGAGGGCAATCAATCTGAACCCTGTTTGCTTTTATGTTTATTGGTTCACCGAAATAATTCCTGACTTGTAAGAAAATGTTGCTAGTGCCTTCAATCCAACCAACGGTGCATTTCTCTGGATCTGGCGCAAATCTGTCTTTGATTACAAGATAGTTCACGATATCTTCATGAAAATTCGGTATCTCATTGACTTGCAAGATTTGCTCGTATTTCTCATCCACTTCGACATCAATTTYCTTTTTTGATAGCTCTGTTAAACGCAACTGGATTGGGATTGTCATTGACAAAACATCACGTTTGCTACCTTTGGCAAGAATGTTTTCAGTGAGCTCCATTACGCTGGTAAGAGCAACCAAACGCATCTCAAGATCGTCCTTCTTTGAGCAGAGTTTCTCCATTTTCATCGCCGTCAAGCTAGTAGACTCTTGTTTAAGTTTCGCGCGCGTCTCTTCTAGAATTGCAATTTTTACATCGATTTTCTCATCTATCKCTTTTTTGACAGTTTCCGCATTTTCCCTCACTTTTTCTTGCATGTCTTTCACTGCCTTCAAAGCGGATTCGACCTCCTTCTTTGTTCCGCGTAAACATTGCATTTTCTTTTGAAGTTGTCCTTTATATTCTTTCACAGTATCTGCGATGAATGCAAACTTATGAACTTTTTGGTCGATAATAGTTAACTGCAAATCAACGTCTAGCACTCTGTTTTGCACACTTATGTTTGACACATGAACATGCGTCTGGTTAATGTTTTTTTTAAAAAAAATTGCATTGTACTTCGACTTCACCGCTTTGCTTCATACCTTTGGACAACTCGACTAGTGCCAGAAGTCTATTGACCAATGTGTCRACTTGTAATGAAGAAACATCCTTGACCTAGAGGAATTTGGGAAATGACACAACTAGATAAAAAAGGCAAGAGGACATTTCAAGTTTAGAAAAACACATGTCCTTTCATTACATGTATGTATAAACTTTGACAAAAAGATCTCCTCCCTCCCTCCTCCCTCCTCCCTCCTCCCTCCTCCCTCCTTCCTCCTCCCTC